TAAAAAGTTTGAATATCTACTTAGCTTGACCATAGAATTTATTTAGTTTTTGAAATTAAATGTTCAAATCTCAAAAATAGCTTCAAATCTCTTTTCGGCATAGAAACGGCCATTGAATTATTTAAAATTTGTCCCGAACTTTTATATTTGATTGGAAGTTTCCCTATCTTTTACAAATGAATATATTTATTCGACTAGTTTAAATTTCAAACCCTACTCCAAACTTTTATATTTATAAAAAATCGGGAAAATGTACAAGTACCCCCCTAGACTATTACCGAATTTCCAGAGACACACCTTAACTAAACTAAGGTCCTATTACCCCCCTGAACCTATTTTATTTGTAATTTTGTACACCTTTTTGACTTACGTGGCATCCAAACATCTCCCACGCGCTTGAGCTGCGTGGAGTCACGGAATGTGCCACATAAGCCAAAAGGTGTACAAAATTATATAAAAAATGAGTTCAGGGGGGTAATAGGACCTTAGTTTAGTTAAGGTGTGTCTAGGGGGGTACTTATGCCATATCCCTAAAAAACCTTCACTGTTCAGATTAGTCTTCTATGTTTTTTATTTGGGAAAATGCATAAGTACCCCCCAGCCTATACCCAAAATCCCTGAGACACACCTAACATTTACTAAGGTCCTATTACCCCCTGAACGTATAGGCAGAGGGGGTACTTATGCATTTTCCCTTTTTTTTTTTGTATATCATTCAGTTGCAGCTAATGTTTTGACCTTGATACAGTTGAGTATTTTTTACAGTTTTTAAAATTTATGTATACAAGTCATGTTTTATATATATATATATATATTGAAAAATTATGTCGAAGTCCAAACATATTTTCAAATTCAAAACTTCACCTAAATCCAACTTTATGTATTTTTTTTAAAAAAAACCTAAGATGCTTCTTGTATTCAAACTATCAAGATCAATTTAACAATGAGTCGTTTGATTTGGAGACAAAATATGTTGAGATTAGTTATGTTAAAATTAGTTATATTCAAATTAGTTATTCTAGTATTATTTCAGTCGTTTGATTTGTTGTATTAAAAACAACATGCATTTCAAAATTTCTAATTAAGACAAAGTTGTTTGAATACCCCCACCTTATTATTCAATAGAAAAGGAGGTTGAGGGACCTGAGAGGATTTTTGTCATTTTCATTATTTTATCTTAAGGTAACTAATTCGATATTATTATTTCACTATCTAATAGGAATAACTTACCCCAATATTAATTATTAATCGTTGCATAACTTCTCACAAGATTAATAATCAAATTTTGGATAATGTTGTATGAAATTTTTATCACAAAAGTATCTATGTTTGCTTAGCATACCAATCAAATGACCCCTAAAAGTGTGGTGTAATTGTTATTCTTGCAATCAATTCAATTGATTTTTTTGGGATAGTTTCAAATATATACAAGAGGAAATACATCAAATCCCCTTTGAACTTGGTTGCAAAATTTACTTTGATACTTTAACTACACGGGTGTTCAAATATCCCCCTAAACAACTTTCAAGTGAATTAAATACCCCCTTAATGGCTGATGTGACAAATAAAATAAAAAACACGTAAAAAGCTAAAAATTAAAGAGAAAAAAAATAATTGGCTATTTTTATTTTCTTTTCAGCCAATAAGAATTTTTATCTTCATCTTCCTCACACCCCACCACCCCTATCCACCAACAACCCTAGCCCTTTTTCTTCCTCACACCCCACCACCCCTTGCCACCCTTAACCACCACCTGCACCACCTCCTCATTTTCTTTTTCGAGCTCCCCACTTTCTTTTTCTTTCTTCGAAATCCTTCACCTTCACCCTATTTCTCCTTCTTTGAACCCTCAATCTGCACCCCTATTTTTTCTTTTTTCGAACTCCACTGTCTCAGCCACCACCTGCATCATCCCCTTCTTCTTCTTCTTCTTCTCCTCATTTTCTTTTTCGAGCTCCCCACTTTCTTTTTCTTTCTTCGAAATCCTTCACCTTCACCCTATTTCTCCTTCTTCGAACCCTCAATCTGTACCTCTATTTCTTCTTTTTTCGAACTCCACTGTCTCAGCCACCACCTGCATCATCCCCTTCTTCTTCTTCTTCTTCTCCTCATTTTCTTTTTCGAGCTCCCCACTTTTTTTTTCTTTCTTCGAAATCCTTCACCTTCACCCTATTTCTCCTTCTTCGAACCCTCAATCTGTACCTCTATTTCTTCTTTTTTCGAACTCCACTCTCTCAGCCACCACCTGCATCATCCCCTTCTTCTTCTTCTTCTTCTCCTCATTTTCTTTTTCGAGCTCCCCACTTTCTTTTTCTTTTTTCGAAATCCTTCACCCTCACCCCTATTTCTCTTTCTTCGAACCCTTAATCTGCACCCCTATTTCTTCTTTTTTCGAACTCCACTCTCTCAGCCACCACCTGCATCATCCTCTTATTCTTCTTCTTCTTCTTTCTCCCCGTTCTTTCTCCTTCCTTCTTCGATGAACTTCTTTCTCCCCCTTCTTTCTCCTTCTTCGGAATATTCATATCCCATTTATTCTCACTTATTCTTAGATGTGATAAACAACGAAAAAAAAAAAAACCAACAACTTATTATTGCTTCAAGATCACTACTTATGAAGGTGTTTATTGATTTGATGAAGTTAAAACTCTTTTTAGTGAAAAATTTATAATTTTTTCATCTCAAAATAAATTTTTAGTTATAACTATGTATTTACTTTGATAATGTGCCTTAAAGATTGAATGATTTTAGATGATCATTTTTCCTAATATGTATAACCTACGCTGAATATGTGGTAAATAAATTTATGGCCGGACATTCTGCATAATTATCAAAAAAAATTATGATTATTCATATAAGAGAGCAAAAAGTAAATATGTATTCATTTCGTATGAATTTTCTCTTAAGCTATGCGAAATGTTCAATTTATCCTTTATTTTAAAATAAGGACAAATTTGTTCTTTTTTTGCATAGTTTAAGGACAAACATCGTTGCTCCTCTTGAATATATTGACGATTTTCATGAATCTGTTTCAGGGTCTCCATTTCATTGAAATGAAACTAGTAACGATGAGAGCATATTTTACCACAACTATTAATAAATGACAAATTTGTTTCATTTCACATTACTTAGGACAAATTGATTTTGTCCCTTTGTTTTTAAATAAATATTGCTTCGCTTTTAGCTTAGTAGGCGTTTGACCATAATATTTGAGAGCTTGATTTTAAGCTTTAATTTTAGATCAAGTGTTTGTTTGTAAAACTAGCATAAAAATTTAATTTCAAATCATGATTTCAGATTCAAATATCTTCAAAAAGTAGGTTTTGAAATTTCAAATTATAATTGATTTTTTTATAAAAAAAATCGACCCATAAATTTATATATTACAAAAACAAATCATATAGGAATTTTAAAAATTGCAAAACATGAATTATGTTCGATTTATCAAAGAACAATTAGTTACTACTATTATTAATTTACATGATGATAAATATTTATAATGTTATGTGTATTTTAAAGTTTATTATAACATATAATTATAAATATATATTTTTTAAAAAACAACATGGAGATGTGAGATTTATTAATTTGCCGTCTTAGGATATTATGATACCTTATGAATGAAGTATGAACTATGATGTGTTTATGTTGTAAAATTGTATAAGGGGACGTTTGGTAAGGAGTATTAGGAAAATTTTTTTATGTATTATGTATGGTATTATTTAGTACTATCTTTGGTAGGAATTTTGGGCATATGTATAACTAATCCATTGATTATTTGTACACCTACATGGTATTATAGGATGTACTAATACCTCTATTTGGTGGTATTAGTAATACATATGATTTAACCATGAGAATATCTATGTAAAGACAAAAAAAATAATTATTTAGAGAGAGTTGTTTGTTGCTAAATAAATTTAATACAAATCAATTAATATTTAAAATGTGAGTTGTTTAACATTTACTAATTGAAAAGACAAATATATCACCACATGACGTTTGTGATCTTAATTGAATGTATTATTTGTTGATATATTTGTGTTTTTCTAATTGTTTGTATTTTGAGCAATTTATAAAATTGCATACATATTAAAATTACAACTTGTCATTTTTATGTGTAAAATGTAGATGATTTATTCTATTTCACTCTCATTTACCGTCTTTTCGATTTTAAAAGTATATGCTATATCTTTTTTAAATAGAAAACTGATGTTTTGTGCATGATCAATTTATTAAGATGAAATTATTTACCCTTAAATAATTCAAGTGAGAAAATAACAAACATGTTAATTTTGTTTTTCTCCTATCTAGTTAGAAGACCACCAAAAAATAATATTGCCCAACAATTATCTACATTAACCCAATTAGATAAAATAAAAAAATTCATAATAATTTAATGGTATAATTGAAAAGAAGCTTTTTGTAAAGTTTTAGCTCAAACACAAGTTAGTGAAAAATAATGAACCAAACATTTGATAAAAATAAACTCTGCATTACTAATATTTGTACCAAACAACCCTAAGCATTTGAGAAGTTTAATAATTTTCACAAATTATTGAATTTTTATATTTATGAAAAAAATTCAAATCTAAAAAAACGCGTATTACAACTCTAAATAAAAATTATAAACTTCAAATCATTTAAAGGCGCTTAGTTTCTTAATAATTTTATTTTTACGGGGAAGAAATAACCCCGTAACTTACCTGGTCGTAAAGTTTACGCTGTCGAAGTAGTATACAAATTGGGGATCCGATCTGGGATAGTGTATTAAAAGTGACAAAGTAGTTTGTTAATTAGGCAGGAGTCCTCCAAGTTTTAAAAATTAGGTAGAAGTGACAAATATATAATTAATATTAATGAAATTAAAAAATCTTTCCTCAACAACCCCAAACTGTTAACTTTTACACTTTTACCTTATATTTTACCTCAAAATACCACTTGTCCCTTTTTTTTAATTGGAGACTTGTGAGGCATTCTTACCTCATTGTTCCGATCTTCTCCTCCAAATTAATTTTCTGCAACTCCAAAATTAGGGTTTCCAATTCATCAAAACCCTAATAATCGATTCGAAATTCCCCTTTACGGTATCCAATCATCAGTTCATTGAGCTTCTCAATCCCCCTTTGTCATGATCAAACCCTATTCGCTCGCTCTAAGTCACTGGGTTTATATCCACTGATCACATCAGAAGCTCGAATTTTCAAATTTCACTGGGTTTGTCTCCCAAAGATCACATCAGAAGCTCGAGAAACTCGCAAATTCAAAGAGAGAGTAGGGTCGAACATTCAAGATTACAGAAGGTAATGGAAATGGATGGAAGCAAGCGTGTGTTCCAGCGGTTGGGTCCTTCTTCACAAGGGGACAACAGTAATAATAAACAGCAAAAAGTTTGTTTTCATTGGAGGGCTGGAAGATGTAACAGATTTCCATGTCCGTTCTTACATAGAGAATTACCGGGACCGCCACAGCAGCAGCAACATGCGGCAGGGAATGGAATGTCGTCGTCGAAGCGGCCTCATGGGTTTTCTGATGATAATCGAGGTGCGGGAATGCGGAGAAATCCAAATTTTAACAATACATGGGGGAGAACTGCTGCTGGCGGAGGTGCAGTTGTGAGGAAGACAGAAAAAGTTTGTAATTATTGGGTTAAAGGGAATTGTACATATGGAAACACCTGTAGGTATTTGCATTCATGGACTACTGGGGACTGCTTCACATTGTTGACAACACTTGAAGGGCACCAAAAGGTGATTATTATGTCTATCAAGAATGTGAAGACCCATTATGTGAAATCCTGTTCTGTTTTTATATCTGAAATTTTGATTCTGCTGTTCATTGAAGGGGCAGTACAGTTTCCTTTGCTCTTCAGTATTGGGTTGGAATTCTGTTATTGTTAATTAAATGGGTATTGAAACAGGTTGTTACAGGGATTGCTTTGCCATCAGGCTCGGATAAGCTTTATTCAGGGTGTACGGACAAGTCAGTACGAGTGTGGGATTGCCAGTCTGGGCAGGTTCTCCTCATACTTTTTCCTTTCATAATTACATGAAAATTGGTACAGGAAAATTTTGTCTTCTTTGCTTGAAATCCCCATATTGTATAAAAATTAGCTGGGAAAATCTAAGAAACAATGTCAATTACTCGGCTCTACTTCTTCCCCTACTATGTGAACTGATCACTTTTCTCCAGAATAGTAATGCTATCTCTTTTTTGTTGCATCAGATTTTAACAGCATCCCAAGAATAAGGAGAATTTTTTTTCCAGTTAGCCTGTTAAGATTATAAAATATGAGGCTTCTGCCGTACTGAAAGTAAAACCAAAAGAATAAATTGATTCAGTTTTTGACCAGTTGTAACAAAGCCAAGTTCTGAAACTCTAAGCTACCCAGAAAGAGAAAAAAGTAATTTTGAAGTTGAATCTGAAGGACAGATAGCTTGTCTATGTGATAAACATTCTTCCAGATTTCCATCTGAAGTATAATCAAGTAGTCTCTTGCCAAAATATTCCACTGGATATGATGATTTGTGAGACTGTAGTTTGTAGCTTTGGAGGATCATGAATGGATTCTTATGCTGTGGTTTCCTCCTGTTGTAGTGTGCAGGGGTTGTCAATTTTGATGGTGAAGTAGGTTCTATGCTGAGTGAAGGACCATGGATTTTTGTGGGTTTAACTAATCTTGTCAAGGTGAATTGTCAAACAGAATTATTTTATTATCTTTCTTTGCTTGCAGTTCATCTCTCTCTCTCTCCACACTTTGGGCATCCCATACATAGACATGCATATCTATTTACAAATACGTTCAACACTCTTAGTATAGTGAATTCCATTCTTTCTTCACGGATGTGTCTGATAACTTTGCAGGCATGGAATACTCAAACAGGAACTGACCTCAGTCTTAATGGGCCAGTTGGACAAGTCTATGCTCTTGTTGTTGGCAATGATATGCTCCTTGCTGGTACGGAGGTAAGTGTGTATGGTTAGTTATATGTTTACTAAATAAAGGAAAAGGAGAAGATGGTATGGAACATAAGTGCTTGCCTATCAACCTGGTCTTTCAGTCTGTAAATTAACTGGAAAGTACTGCAGGATGGGATATTGGCATGGAAATATAATGGGAGCACCAACAATTTTGATCCAATCAAAGCATTGACAGGACACACCCATCATGTGGTATCGCTGGTCGTTGGAGCTAATAGATTATATTCTGGTTCCATGGACAATTCAATAAGAGTAAGTTGGTCAGAAGCGATGTGGATTCTCTTGTCATTTTATGTTTCTCTATTTCCTCTTGATGTGTAGAGAAAGCTAGGGATCTAGAGTTCTGCATTTTAACCTAGACTTTGCAGTTGTTATTGTTTTGTTCTTACTGCTGCTATTGTGTCTTCAGGTGTGGAACCTTGAAACTTTAGAGTGCTTACAGATCTTGACAGATCATACAAGTGTTGTTATGTCTGTTCTGTGCTGGGATCAGTTTCTTTTATCATGTTCACTGGACAAAACAATAAAGGTTTATGTTTGTTCTTTTTCTTGAAAAATTTAGCTCTCTTAATCTTATCCAATCATGTGTTGATGATTGTGCTTGTTTTTATAGGTTTGGGCTGCTAATGATAGTGGGAACTTGGAGGTTACATATACTCATCAAGAGGATTGTGTAAGTGAGACTGCTTTGTCTGTCCACATTTACTTTATGATTCTTTGGTCTCACATATCATCTAGATAAATGGCTCGGAGTATTAATTAAGTCAAAACTAAAACAAACTCATTTGGTGAAGACCAAGTTTTAAAATTTTCCTTCTGGAAGTGATATGTTAGAGAAAATAGAAAAGAAAAATTGACGGAAGCTTTCAACAACATACCCAGTGTAATCCCACAAGAAAAATTGACGGAAGCTTAGAATTATCAATTTGTTTGATAGGGAAGAGATTCATAAAATGGTTTGTGATTACTTTTGATGAAATATTCTTTAATAACTGTATTTAGTAAATAAAGTTATACTTGTGGTTCAATATACTCCCTAGAACAGAAGTCATACTACATTGATGTTATTGAAAATTCTTGAGTTAATTACTAAAAGAGTAATATATTCATGGTACAAACTATAAAGAAAAATGGTATCCTGTCCCAAATAATGGTGTTTTTTTTATAAGATAAGTGGTATTAATAACAACATCAAGAAGATGCAAGATTTACAAGATATGGCATTTGAGCTTACAAAAAATCTCTGGCTAACTATACAAACTATCTAAGCCAAAACTAATGAGTTAGTAAAATCCTGAAGTTCTGCATTAACAGTAGGATACAAGTTGGACCAACTAAACAAATTTGCAATGCACCTAGTCTTCAAAATGCCTAAAGCAGTTGCCTCTCCATCAAAACATCTCTTGTTCCTCTCTAACCAAATACACCAAAAAATACAAGCAGGTATCATAATCCAGATCTTCTTGATGGCTTTGTCAACTTTCTATAGGCTCCAACTCTCGTATGCATCCTTAACTGTGAGGGGTGTGGTCCAATCGATGCCAGAGAGACAAAAAAAATGCTCCATAATGGTATTTAAAACATGAAAGTAGAACTTTTTAACTTTTAATTTGGTCTCGGATTGATGATTGGCTCTACTTTGTCTAAAATACAAAGGTATATTTGGAACTGCATAAAGCACTCCTTAAAAATTGAGATATTCGATTTTTTTTTTTTTTCGAGAAAACTGTAGCAAAAAATATATGTTATGTGAATATCCAAATATTAGTATGATCATGTAAAATGGTTCATAAGGGAGTACCATATTAAAATCCTTCTGCAGGGCCTTTTGGCGAAGCAAAACCTATGAGTGAAATTATTTTTTTTGATTGAAACTGGTAATATTGTATTCCTCAGCATTAAGGGCTATGCTGGCCACCTCCAAAAGTGTTAGTTACATAGAAAAACCAACAAAAAAAACAGGACTACTTACAAATCTCCTATGAAATCCACTAGTTGAATTTCTTCTTCTATGTTCATTTCTTTACACCAAAAACCTAAAGTGGTAATTACTTTCCACTTAATCTTCCCTATAGTGCATTCTTTCCCTACAAAAATTCTCTGATTTCTCTCCTTCCAAATGATCCACCAGATAGAAGCAGGTACTGTTCTCCACCACCTCCTCTGGCTCTTACTGCCTCCCCTTCTGACCCAACAACTTAGTAGGTCTGCTGTATGTTCTGGCATAATCCAATTTAGGCTCTTTATATTGGTGAATAGAGCCCATACTTGTGTTGTTACTTTGCAGTGGAGAAACAGATGATTGTTGGTTTCTAGAGCCTCTTTACAAAGATAACACCTTGAGGCAATAATTTTTCCCCTCTTTTGAAGTTTATCATGTGTCAGGCAAGCCCTTCTAGTTACCAACCAAGTGAAACACTTCACCTTAGTAGGGGCTACACTTTTCCATATAGTACTCCATGGCCCTGATTTCTTCCCTGCAATTGTGGCTAGATCCCTTTTATACATTCTGTTCACATAGAATTGACCATCAGTATGATGCCTCCATAGCAATTTATCTGTTTCCAGATTTGTGCCAGGAAAATCTCCAATCAAAGCTAGCATATCCGATACCCACTCTATTTCCCAATCATTAAGAAACCTCCTAAAGAGCAAATTCCATCCTTGTGGGGACCAAACCTCTTGTATTTTGCTGTCAGGATTCAGGCAAATGGAAAACAACCCAGGGAATAAATTTTCCAAGGACCCTTGATTATTTTATTGTGAGTTGAATTCTGAAAACTCGTGTTTTGCTTCTTTGTTGTATGATGGTAATGTTAAAGTTGCTAAATAAAGGCAGTATATACTTTAGAAACTATAAAAGCTAAATATTAATTAAATTCTACAAAAAATTGAATTATTTGGATTTTTGAAAAATAGATAGAATCCTGAAGTAAATTTATTATTCAGCTCTAATAAGAAAAGATACAAGGATATTATCTACAAAAAAGAAATAAGATAGTAGTCTATGAATCAACAGTTTTTTCTTTGGATAAAGTTATTGAAAAGGAAATACGCCTCAGGAATAGGAGATTAGCCAAACAATTGAGTAGATTCAGTGGGAAATAGAAGTGATAGTGATCAAGTTTGTAGGGATGTTGAACAGGAGAATCTAGGAGTGTTAAGAAAAATTGCTTGCTTGCTGTTTGATTTCGTCGACAAACATTAGACTTAAGCTATTTCCTGGAATATAAGGCCCTGTTCAAGAAAAAAAGGCATGACCTTTTGTTAGAAGTCACACACTGAAAGGGTTATGGAGCTGATCATGAGTCATTGGGGTAATTTCAATACCAGCAAAGACTAGTATTATTGTGGACAGGTGCTCTCAGAATTATATAGCCAAATTAGATTTTTCAGAAGTTTCTCTAATTGATCCTCCTCTTCATGGAGGAAAATATGCATCACTTAGAAGTAATAGTGTATCTATGCCTTTGCATCTAGAATTAATATATTTTGCTATCAAATGTACACGATGACACTTTTAATTTTCTAAACAGAAGATTGAGCCTAAAATTTCGTCTGATCATTAGCTATGTCCTATTTTACTGGAATGAGACAAAACAGAAACATATTTCAAGATCAACTAATTGAAAAGACTGGTCTGCTAGACCTGGCACCTTGTCCCACAAAGTTGTAATTTGGAAGTGCTTTAGGAGTCTCCAGGAAGAGCTCCTAGATAGGGTACGATCTGATAGGAAGATGGATAAATTTGTTGTCAATCAAATGGATAGACAATACGACTTTGAAAGACAGGTTTCCAGATTTATACATGATTTTAGTTAATGAAGAAAGCTCTCTACCAGGATGTGTTAGTGGGGGAGCAACCGGAGTCTCTAATTTAGTAGGAACTTGAATGATTGGGAGATAGATAGAATTAATTTTCTTTTGGAACATTAAAGGAGGTGTGCTTGATTATGTGGAAGATGTTATCCAGACGTGCATCTTGTAGATTATCTCAGTAAGGGGATTGGATTTGGCAAATTCAAAAAATCATGTTTTGGACGGTTTATGAGGGATTTAGGTGGTAGGTTTTGCTCTTTTGACTACTATTGTAATTATTATTGAAGTACATCTTTGGTGTAGTTCTTTGTTTATTATAGATACGACAACAACATACCCGGTAAAATCTCATAAAGTGGGGTTGTGAGAGGCCACTATCTCTTCGAGGTTGAGAGATTGTTTATGATAGACCGAGATATTTTCTGATAGACCCTCGGCTCAAGCAAATCAAAGTAGTAATTTAAATAAAAATGGGAGCGGAGAGAAATATGACAACTAATACAAAGCAGTGGGAGTACACATGTAAGGAGCCATAGCTAAAACATCAAGGTGCGATCACCTAAACGCAACAAACCACTAAGATATTAGATACCAAAAGCTAAAGAATACATGCATAGGCTAATACTACGACCGACACGATGCTCTATATTACCACCAAATCAATTACATGAATAGGTTAGTAATAAGACAACTCTCAACTCTCAACTCTCAACTCTCAACTCTCAACTCTCAACTCTCAACTCTCAACTCTCAACTCTCAACTCTCAACTACCGACTAACCTTCTAGCCTTATCCTCGATCGTCATACCCTCCTATCTAAGGTTATGTCATCGTAAGCGGAAGATGCTCCATATCTTGTCTAATCATCTTCCCCAATACTTTTTCGGTCTACCTCTGCCTCTCTGCCTTTCCTTGACTATGTCTAACCTCTCACACCTCCTCACTGGGGCATTCACACATTTCCGCTTCACATGCCCAAATCATCTCAGTCCCCTTTCCTCCATCCAATGTCCACCATAGAGGAAGATAAGAAAATCAATGCACCAATAACAATGACTTGTTTTGGTACTTGCGCCTTTATCTTTTTTGATGATGAGTGGAACATATTTTTATGAGTAGTCTACAGAAACAGTTCAATTTTCTGCACTGTAAAAGTATGTGGAGAAGCTGGTGTATGTTCCTCAAATTTAATGGATGACATTCATTAAATTTGGAACTTGCGCTATCCAGATGGAAGAGACTGAGAAGAATTTGAATTCATTTTGGAATATTTTGGATGGTTCGTCATGAAAGAAAATCATAGATGCTTTGAGTAGCATCATTCTTAAAGTTTAGATGTTGATAAAATGTGAAACTGTTGTAACATGAATGTTTTAAGGGACTCAGAGGGTTGTTTGGTTCATTTACTAGTTATGCCGATATTCATTATACTGGTGATTAATAAAGAAAGACTGTTATACATGAGTTGCTTATTTTGAAAGGGCATTTGGGTCTTTCAATAATTTAATCCTACATTGCCAATACCCATATTCTCACATTTCATCCTGCATAAAATTAAAACAACACGTAGATTCCCGTATTACCTAGTATAGGTATTATTTAATACCACAAACCAAATGCTGCATTAGTTATGCAAGTTGGTGCCCAATATCAGCCAACAATTTACACTTTTTTGAGTTTGATCCCATATTCTAACATCTTGTTGTACATTTCTGGGAGAAAATGATTGTTGTGGAACTCTAACTATTATACTCAAATTTTCTCTATTACTTTGGTGATTTGAGTAGATTGCATATAGAGCAGAAATTGAGGCTGGGTTGCTTTGCCTGCCAAACTTCCAATGATTTGTAGTTAGGTTCATAATCTATTTTTTGGAGACGTTTGCTCTGTCATTTAACGATGTTATCTTATCTTCAGGGTGTGCTTGCTCTCTGTGGCATGCATGATTCAGAAGCAAAGCCTGTATTGCTCTGCTCTCGCAATGACAACACCATCCGTGTCTATGATTTGCCATCGTAAGTTTGTCACTCTCTCTCTCTCTCTATGTTGTTGGAACTCATATTTTGTTCTTATTATTGACTGATCTTTAACACCATTACTTCTTCTGGTTAGCTTTTCTGAGAGGGGGAAGATATTCTCTAAGGAGAGTGTCCGTCGAATCGAGATTGGTCCTGCTGGTTTATTTTTTACTGGTGATGAATCAGGTCAAGTTAGAGTGTGGAAGTGGTCAACTGAATCCAGCAGTACATCTTGAGAGGATTAATGCATTTACAGCGATAACATTTCTTTGTTGCTGGCCAGCAATTATCTTATTTTTCTTCTCCCAGTGAGAAAATGTACCAAGCAAGGAACATATAATAAGATAAAGAAGTACCAGTTTTGATTTTCAGAGGTAGTTAGCTTAGAGCCTTGCCGTTTAGTTGCTTTTAACTATTGAGCTCTTGATGGGTTCCAGGCATATTTTTTCCTAGTCTGGTTTGTACTCAAAATCATGATATTCGTGTAAATCTCTGGAGGACATTTCTGGTCTGCCGTCCTGTATTGTTTTTCACGAGTTATGGATGTAGCTCAAAATTCTTGTGTTCCTTGAATAAGTTTGCTAATGTATGCACTACTGTTGCACATTGAAAAATGTTTCAATTACATCAGTAGTACTGGAACAGATCTGTTGTGCAATTGTTCAATTTCACTTTACCGTCACCTACTTTGCAATTTTTCTTCGAGTTCACTACCGTAATGTGGTCCAAGTTCACAGCGAAACCTATATTCGTGCAACAAAAAACCATTCAACGGCAGCAGCAAGATAATGATTAATTCTATTTGTATTTGTTTTGGCAGGTTAAAAGTTTGTTAAGATTAAGAGTTGGTTAGGTGCATGTCAAACGTGTCTCACATGATTTGCCATAGTAAGATGTGTGTCTATGCGTGTGCCTAGTTGTACACATCCAAAATTGGACATAAATGTCAGTTAAATGGCACAAACAGGTACTGACATCTGTCTTGATGGTCCAGTTGGACATGTGTATGCTCTTGTTGTTGGCAATGATGTGTTCCTTGGTGGTACATAGGTAATATATGGAACATAAGTGCATGTCTCTGTGGATTTTCATGTCATCTTATGTTTTTCACTTTCCTCTGGATGAATAGAGAAAGCTAGGAATCTAGAGTTGTGCAGTTCTGTTCCTACTATTGCTGTTATGTCTTCAGGTCTAGAACCTTGAAACTTTGCTGTGTTTACAGATGATTCAAATTTCAAGTCTTGTTACGTCTGTTTTATATGATGGTATCAGTTTCTTTTATCATCTTTATTGGACAAAACAATGGGTCGTGGCCCAATCCAACCAACTCTTGCTAAAATTAATTCACTTATCAACGCCGCATAATCAATATTTTATTGACTTTAATACATGCATATAGGCGTAAATTGTACAAATGGTCACATAACTATGTTTTCTAGCCATCGGACCGATTTTATAAAAGGGTTCCTTATTTTAATGAGAAAAAAAAGGTTCAACAAATAGACCAGACCGGCTCGGCCCAAGTAAAGCAAAAAGGAGACAAGGAATTTTCGCAAATAGCCATTATTATGCTTCATAGCTATAGTTTGCATATTTACGGGTTGTAGCTACAGTTTAAGCTGCCTCGTTTGTATAATTCGCAGGTTTGTATAATTTGCGGGTACATTTGAATAATTCAGTTATTTTTGTATAAATTCTAAATAACGAATTTATACAATTACAAACATCAGAAGTGTAAACAATTATACAAATTCCGAATTATACAAAAGTTATACAAATTATATTATACGAATTCTGAATTATACAAATGTGCAAATTATACAAAACTAAAAAGGTGAGCCGCGTCATTATAGCTAAAAGTAAGTTGCAAATTATAATTATGAAAAGTTATAGCTATGTTAACTAAGTAATTAGTATATGTTTGCTTATACGCGTAATTTTCCCAATATATAATTCCACATGTTTGATTGTTGAGTAGCAATAATAAATATGTTGTTATATAATTATTGAATGAAATATAAAGGGGAATATTTGCATCAAATGGTTGCAATCATTGTTATCAAGTCAATAAAGAGCGCACATACAAGGGATTGACAAGGTCAAGAAGCCAAACTTATTTAGCACGCCAAGTGCAATCGGCCAAAATTCACTTTGTAGAAGAAATTAAATTAAAGAGAGCATTTGGTCCCGTCGATGAATATTCACAATCCTATTACAATCATTACTCTTTATTGACTTTAGGGACTTAGGTTAGGGTTCGGTTTGTTATTGATTATGATGGCTAAAGCTTTGAACAATTGGTCTAATTAATGGGGGAGGTAACGTTTCCTTCACGTCATTCATCTTCCCCACTTGCTCAAGTATACAACATTTTATCACTCATCCCCTTTAACAATAACAACACACTCAGTGAAATTCTACAAGTCAAATTTGAATAGGGTAGAATGTACATAAACATTATCACAACCTCGTGGAGGTAGAGACGCTCTTTCTGAAAGACCTGGTTTATGTGCAGCAAATTCAAGTATAAAGAAGAAGAAATCGGTGTAGAAAACATAGAAACTAACAAGGGAAGTAGTGCAAAGACTACAAGCTAAGAAAAGAAACAAGAACAATAAAATAATGTAACAATCGAAATACAATAAACAACAAATATGATAGATATCAAAGCAAAAACTACAATAATACAGTTGGTACAATGACAAACACCAACAAACCTAAACCCTCGAAAAACAAGAAAACACTCCTCGTCTTTATTAATGTCGACGTTGGTGTTCGGAGTCAATTTTTGCGTATTTCAATTATTTTACCAGATACTCGCTACTTTTGACCAATACAAATATCGATCACCGAAATTCAGACAAAAGAAATCACCTAATATTTTTTGTCTTCAAAACTAAAATTTGAGACTGTAATTTTCCTCCTACTTTATTTATCACTAGGCCCAGCCTTAATCACCTTTTTAGTACGTACTCCTCGTTGACATTTGGAGTTTTTTAATGTTTTCCTCCTAATTCTATTCCGGAAGTGCTTTTGTTATTATTTGGTATTTTCTCTTTGTAATTGTTTATTAAACGTGAGGTTTTAGTGGTATATTACTATATTATTATAGTTATGTATTTGGTGTTAATAGAACCTGTCCATGCTGCTGAAGGCAGGTTAGTTGCTAGAAAAATACTAGTGAAATTTGTTATAGTATCAATATCAATTATTTAAATTCCTTTCTGTAGTTAGTCAATAGTTATCTGAAAGGGATCAATTAACTAAGAATAATGTTGTCTTTAAAATTATAATAACGTAAACTTGTCATTTCTATCTTTATTAATTGAAATGTCATCATAGTTTACGAGTTATAGCAACCAAATATATTACTCATATATAACTTATAAACTTATTTTAAGGTACCATTCCATCCAAGGAGGAACATTATATTAAAATTGTACTAGCTAGTTATATATAATAAAGCATTTTCATATGTCAAACTATGAAGAGTTCCACGTTGGTCGTTTAAAGGATGAGTGGTCTCTTTAATATGATTTGGACAATCTTTTCCTCATGAGCTAACTTTTAGAGTTGAATTAGACCCAAAATTCACTCTTTACATGGTATCAAAGCTGGACTCGAACCCATTCCAATTCTTATTTTTTCGATGGATAGTCTCCTCTATCTTTGGGGGTGAGTGAAACGCAAGATCCATCTCTAGAAGCGGAGCCAGCTTTGGGTTAGGAGTTCATAAATTATACTATTATATATATATATAATAGATGTCAAAAGCCTTTTGACTAGTTCATATATTTACTTATATTTACTTCTTCAAATTTTGAACCCTCTTAATGAAAATCCTAACTCGTCACTGTCTATCTCACAAAAGATATTGGGTTACCTAATCAACCTTTTATAAATCATAACGGTCTATTATAATTTGGTGAACATATAACAAGTACACGCCAAATTGTAGTTCAATCAACTCAACTTGCCTAATTCAAAACCAATATTCCAAAAGTCATCATCAACCTAAAAAGCCCACACAAAAACTCTCATCACCAATATTATCCATATAAATATCACCATCTTTATACACAATATCATCAAATCATCTTTCTTCTCTATCTCCTCATAAAAATAAAATGTCTTCTCTATCCAATAAATACAAATCCAAAATAAAAACTTCAATACTCATAGCCGATGTAGCTTCATGGATATGTGCAATTAGCCTCATGGCACTTGTATTAATGAGTTCTGTTAGGGAAAATAACCTTAGGAATTGGGATTCTCATGTAGTAAGAGGAAATCAATTATCGATGTCTCATCGACCGTGCGATGAAATATATGTAGTTGGAGAAGGAGAAACGTTACATACAATTAGTGATAAGTGTGGTGATCCTTATATTGTTGAAAGGAATCCACATATTCATGATCCTGATGATGTTTTTCCTGGACTTGTCATCAAGATTGTTCCTTTCAACAATAACAAGTCATTGAGATAGTACTTAATTTGGTGGAACATTTTACTTTTTTAGCCTCAACAAATATATGTTGAATAATTGCTCTGTATATGTATAGAAATAAAGTCATGTGGGGAGCATAAATTATTACAGAAATTGAAGACTTACAGACTGATATATATATATATATATACTTCTTGCTTTGAACTCGTTTCCTTCTTTCTTCTTTATTTTAAGGACCATTTGATCATGCAATTTGGACTTCAAATTTGAAGTTTTGATAAATTTGTGTTTGTTTATGATATTTAAACAAAACTTCGATCTTAAAATCTGAATCTTCATAGAGGTAGAATTTCAATTTCAAATTTGTGATTTCAGTTTTTTTTTTTAAAAAAATTAAAAACTTAATCTTTTTTTTTTTTTTACTTACTCATTTTTATGATTTATTCTTGAAAAATATTTTGGAGAGAAATATTGTCTCAAGAATATTTTATATAATCTAGGCAAACACTTATGAAATTTGTTTGTGGTAACAATGGGGTGCTCTAGGGATTTGAAGGATGGGGGGGAGACAATTGATATGAAATGTTATTTGTGAAACTTGATTTCCCCGTTTCAGAAAGTTACTTTCTTTATTTTTAAGAATTTTTTTCCTAAAGAAAATATTTCAAACAGAGAAAATTTTGAAAATATTTTTTCCGTGCCAAACACAGTTGAACCAGATTTGAGATTGTGATTGCACAAAGGTTGTTGGGCCTTAAGGGCAGTGACAACATAAAGAATCTTCACTTTTGATGCCCGTTAAGACAACGACTACATAAAGAGGCTTTCCCTATACCACAATTCACATAAAAAAAAAAACTCAATTTCCTTCCTTCGTTGGATGATTGATGAGTACTGTGGCTCAGCCTGTACGTGTTTATGTCAAATTAATACAATTATATAATTAAATATGTATGTAGCAGATAATTAATTATACTATATATCATATTCAAATATATGACAGGAGGTATGTATTGATCCGAAGGGACTAACACTCCTCCCGTATGGATCCCCTAAATTTGCCTCAATGCACCGTTAAACGAGCAACACCTGGCCATTTACAAAATCAATGATCTAAAGTACTTATCCCTCTTAACTATTTGCTTGAGTTATTGGTTCTCAAGCATAGTTAGACAGTTAGTTGAGGATATTAATTTTA